TTTACTCTTAAGTACATTTACTTTGCAGGATTTCATTCTTTTCCTTAGTTTTTCAATAGAGAGATTACAGCCACCTGTCTGCAGAAGTAAAGACAGAGAAGAGGGGGTTTAAGCTACAGTATCTGGAGCTTTTACAGTGACTGAACAAACTGTTTACATATTTCTGCCTTAGTTTCCACTTGAAGCAGCATGGTATAACTCAGTCCAATCCCTCTGTGTAGAAGACAATTATTTATCAGCTTCCTTTTGGCAAAAATTTCTTTCACGTCTTTTTTTAAGGCACTGAGGGTACCAAGGTGTTTCCTGCTCAGCCATTTATCACAGCAGGCTTATGATTTATTTTCACAAGAAACACAAGATAAAGAGGATATCACAGAGAGCACAGTGCCCCACAGTAAAAGGAATATAATTCTAATAGCCACCAAGACAGGGTTCCAGCACTGTATATTCTCCTACTAAAGCAAGCACTGTTAATGCCTGTTTAGTCACAGAATCATACAGACTGCCAATGTACTGAGGAATTACTGCCCCCTCTCCATTTCCCCCCAGTTACTCTGTTACAGTAATTTGAACAAATTACGTCTAACACCAGAGTTTACCAACAGTTTTATATACACACAAACACATATATATGCACACATGTACAAACATTCTGCATCATGCAATTAAAACTCCGGATTTCTTCTGTCAGGTCTCACCTTCTCACAGGTGTGTACATGCTGTCCCAAAAACTAGTCTGAAGAAGTTAACTCTTACATGGTTTCCACCTTTATTTCTAGATTAAGACTCTCCATTGTAAGAAACAATTAGCACCAGCTGGTGAAGCTGGTTACTTTGGTTGAGCTTTGAAATTGATACTAAGTGCACAATAAATTTGAAGTCACTACAGACTCAATTTTTTCTTTGCTGACACAACAGATATGTTCCTACTTCTTCCAGGAAACGTGTAATTAAATTTTAGAATTCATTAAGTGTTTGTGCTTTGCCTATTCCCTGGGCTGCATGATAAAAGGTTTGGACAAGTGAGCATGGTGGAAGCTAAACATTTCCATCATTTAAGGATAAAATTTTGGCTTCTATTATCTAAAATAAATCTGAACTTTTTTAAAAAGCTTCACCTTTTCCTTGAAGATTTAAAAGAAGAAACTTACACACAAGAGGACTTTGAACTTTCTTCCTCTTAAATTTATCTTTATTATTTGTAAACACTGCATCCTCTCAACACAAGGAATTAATCAGTTCTTCTCTGAGCTACCCAACCAATCCACTTTCCATTTTCCTATCCAAACATCTGTACTTGCCCTTCCCCATCTGCTGTTCTTATTGTTGAATTAATTTACCATCTCAATTGCTGCAATTTTCTTCTCAGTTTCATGAGACAATAGATTGGTGCTTTCCTGAACAAGGATGCCTTCCATCTTTTCTATCACTCCATCTTTTCCCCTTCACTAAACTGAGGTGAGAAGAAGAAACACAACTAGCAAAGGCTCATGTCCTTGGCTTTCAGAGAAATTTCTTTTGTTTTATTCTCAGAAACACATCCATTCTAGTTTTTCCAAGATTAAAATTAAGATAATGAAAAAGTAATACGACAAAAGCAAAGACAAGTCAAGAGTAAGGGCTCCTATATATATTTTTTTTTTTCCCATAGAATATTCTGAGTTGGAAGGGACCCACAAAGATCACTGAGTCCAATTCTTAAGTTAATGGCCGGTATGGGGATGATTTTGACTTTATTAGCACCATGCTCTAACCAACTGAGCCAATCCACTCCCCATATATATATATATATATATATATTATACACACACAGAGAGAGAGAGAGAGAGATGGAGAGAGAGAGAGAGATGGAGAGAGAGAGAGAGATGGAGAGAGAGAGAGAGAGACCTATATTTGTTTTAAAGCACACTAGGGAGAAGGTCATTTTGAAGCAACACAAACACATTCCTACTATAACGATTGTTAAGCATTTATTGCCTGTGTGCAGTGTTACCCACTAGGCCATTTCCACTGTATTTAATAAAGTAAATGTTCTGAGATGCTACCAGTACCCCAAGTTCTCAACTCATGACACATTTTAGTCATATATGTACCGCCTGTAAATGTAAGAATCTTAAATGAACAACAAAACAAATCTGTAGTACATGAATTCTACAAGCTGAAGACCCAGAAGGTAATAAACAAAACTTACAACTTATTTATTTAAGTCTCACTGTTTTGTGAGTTGGTGGGAGCCAAGAATGACCTAATGGATCAGATTGAGGAACAGACCTTTCCCAAGAGCAGACTCAGCAGCTTCAAAACCAAACCATTCTACCATTTTATCATACTGATCTACATTAAAATATAAGACCTAAAAGAATTATTTTAGACAACAGTAAAACAAATTTAAGTAATTCCTGGTTTCCTAATGCACATGGCCAAAATGTGAAATTTTTGGGGAATTTTTTATTTTTATTTGAATGGTGCATGAGCAAATGGAACTATGAATCTCATACCAACAGTTAATACCAGACTGGCCTGACTCATACAATGGTGCTAAACCACTTATACACAGACTTTCAGTTCTGCTTTGTGTAGTATCCTCTTTTGCCATTACCAGCACATCAGTGCCTTACAGCAGTATGCAAGTATCATGAAATTTAGCTACTAGTAGCTTGCATTCCTCTCTAACCCTTCCCCCAGGAAGAGGACTGTATGTGTGATATTTTCTTCTTGTATAATGTTTGATTTATTTTTTAGATTATAAGCATCAAGCTTGATGTGCTCTTTTTTTTTTACACTCTCAGGGGAAAAAAACATGTGGAAGCGTTCTAGAATATACTTGTTTCCCCATGGGTATTTAATTCATAATCTAGAAACACTCACCTGCAAAATTTATAACTCTCTGCTTCCAAAGTCCTTCCTATGTTTAATTTTTTCAATCACAGTCTTGGGGTTTGAGCCATTTGCAATCTAAGGACTCCTTTTACGATACAAAGCCTTGGGCATCTTTAAAGTACTGGAAATAACTGGTGATCTGACAAAAATCCAGGACTGCTCTACAAATTGAAAAGAAAAAATGACAAAGTGTAGTTGTTAAAAAGAGAGATATTACACTGTTTAGTAAAATGTGAGCCTCTCTGACTAAAATGACCAGCACACCAACATTAAGCTCTGTTCTATCAATGTCTCTGGATACCCATCTCCACTATTATTGAAACAGATTTACTAAAACTAACCTCTTTATCAATTCATTCAAGAATTTTAAAATATTATGTTAATAATATATTCACCTCTGAAGACGAAACCTGGTCCAGGTTTTTCGAGGTTGATGGGAACAAAAGCCAAATCTTCTAGCAATTCCTTGAAAAATCATGTTGGGATTTTGGTGGCACTGCTCCTCCTCTTTTTATTTATATCCCTCCCCACATGAAGGCTTAAAACACTGGGGAAAATGGTTCTGCTGAAGTCACAGCTACCCCAGCCACTCTGGAGTTTGCTTTGTGTTCCCCACTTCTTATTTCATATATGTTAAGCAGAGGACTGAGAAAAAGCATGTGGCCACTAACAACCCTCCTTGGGACTCCTTCAGCAAGGTGCTTCACTCAGTGTCCCCTCATTTACACTTCTGACCCTTGGCATTTCTACTTTCTCCCAGCAGTTTGGCTCACTGTGTTTTTGAGGGAGTGCTACTCCTATGTTTGGGACAAAGGCACAGTCATCCCTTGGTTAGTGCTAGAAGGAACAGCAACCAGAACCAAAGGCCCAGAAAACAGCATAAGGTGGAAGTTTCACAGCCCACTTGCCTTGCTAAGGGGCTGCTTGGTTGCCTCCAGCAACCTGCCACTCAGTGTGAGCCAGAGATGGGCAGTGCATTTAATACCCTTCCAAAAACCTGTCCCAGTTTCTGTGTAGTTGTCTAAACCAGCATAAGCTACTGTCAGCCATACTAGCCTACAGAAATAAAGTTTCAAAATTTAGCTGTGCCTTATTAAAAATAAATAAATAAAAAAGCCATCTCATTTTGCTTACAACCTACCACCCAACAATGACTTGAAAACTCTTTATTCTTTCATATGAGTAGGAAATAGCACAATACTATTCTAATTCTCTAGCAAGAATTAGAAAATTTGAACAGACAGCTCTATTGTAATTTCACTGTTTTCTGAGTAGTAAACACAGAGCACAGCCCATCCATCACAGTATGTAAAATGAGAATTTGTTTCCTCCCCTTACACACACATCTTGCAGTTGTCAGTGTGAAATGCCATCTGCTATCCAGTCACACTTTTTGAAGCTTTCTGCTACCAGCTTCCAGTTTTACTAACTAACTTAGTATCAGCAAATATTTTAAGAGGTAGAGTGTCGATTAACAAAAGAAGAACTCTCACCAATTTTTAAACCAATAACATAACAAGGTTAGTCTTTTAAAAATCTTGACATGTTAATTCTATATAGATAAGAAAAATATAGGTGCTTACTCAAAAGCTGATTGGCAATTCAATAATTACTAACTACTGCCTTTATCCCTATTTAAATATAACAGAAGCAAAACCAAGTTAAGAGCTTTGTGGTAGTCAGCTTCTCTTGCCTTTAATCTTCCCTCTCACCCATTTCCATTCTCATGCCTCTTTGCCTCTTCTACCGAAAGCAATAACCCCTAGAGCCAATACTCCTGTATTTGGTGCTTGTCCAAATCCTCGTTACTTGACAATAACCATGAGGTCCTTCTTCACAAACTAGCTTTTCACAGCGTTCTGGTTCTGTATGCATCCAATCTGAACCACAACAAAAGTCGTATGTATTTTCCATATAATTTTCTACCTTGATTTTTTTTTTTTTTGAGAGAGAGGAAGTAGGTTAATGAGTTCTGATGTATTCAGTTATGCCAGATACTTACTCAGCTGGAACACACACTGCATCTGATCAAATCTCTCATTCAGTTATGGTCTGGAGCTATTTTACATAGGGCACCACAACATTTTAGGTCCCTAACTTTAAAAAAATTTCCAAGAAAATTCTACATCTATTTAAATTGATTAAAATAATTTTTAAAAAGCCATAGATCTCTAAAACATGATCAGAAATAGCAACTTGATATTTACAAAAACAATGAAAGATAGTACTGCAAGTGTAAATATTTTACAGAACAGACATAAAAACTGCTTTAAAAGAAAAACTACTTTCATTATAAGCTGAAGTCAATACATTATAAAGTCAGAAAACAACTTTCAGCTCTAGTTAAAATACAAGAAAGCTTTTGAATATCATATATAACCACTCAGAAAAATACAAACAGATCTAGACAACTCACACAGGCCTCATTGTACTCAGGAGAAAATAAGAAAGAAAAAAAAACAACCCAACAAACAAAACCCCCAAAACCTGAATTCATTCCACTCATCTAAAGTACTACAGCCGTTCCAAAGAGGTTAACTGTGTTTGCTCTAGTTTATTTGGATATTAAATGCAAGATAAAAGATCTCCAGGCGAAATATAAGAGATTTTATCTTATTTTTGGGAAATAAACAGACTCCAGAGGTGTGTTCTCGCCCAGCCAATCCTGAGGCTGTCGTGCAGCTCTGCCACCTCTCCAAGCCCAATCACAGCCACAAAGGGAAACTTGTTTCGCAGTTTGTCTCAGCGGTGCTGATGATGAATGGCTGCTTCAGGGGGAGAGATCAAGCTGTGTGGTAAATCTTTCTATTTGTTCCATCTGCTTTTCTATTTTAAACAGTTGTAGTGATCAGCCTGGCACCCTACATTAAGTACATATGAATTTCATAAGAGAAAACACTTATGTAAGTGAAAACATGGCTTACATTTGTCCTCCCATTCTCAAAGTGAACACTGCAACTTCTGCAAGCTCAGAACTATTACTTTGTATCTACCTTCCAGAAAAGATATAGCATAATATAGCTTGATTTTACAGCTTTTAGAAGGTCAGCTTTGCAGCCATAGCATATTTCAAGATGATGTCATTCTCCACCTTCCTCCTGCCTAGCTCCACTTTGCAATACAACTCGTAAGATGGCAGGAGAAGTAATATGAAAACAGAGTATGTTTATCAGGCTATGCCCTTCAAATATACAAGGGCCTATCCTACAAGCCTTATTTATCTCGTAATTGTGCTGAGGTTGTGCTAGTGTAAAGCATGCCTATCCAGCCTGGCTCCAAAGGTCACCATTATAAGGGAATGCTTTACAATAAAGCCCATTGCTGATTTCTAATCTAAAAAGACAGGTAAACATACTGAGACAAGCAATGGGGTTTTTTTTCTTTGGTTATCAAACCATTCTTGACTGGTCAGATTGCAGTTTGGCCAAATCCTGCTTTCCCTTATACTTTCACTACATTGTTCTTTATATCCTGATATATTGTGCAGCACTGCTGTGTTCTGCTAAACAGCTTCCTTGCTCCTCAAAGCTAACTACATTTCAATGGCCAGCAAAAAAAGCTCAGTATCTTGATATCTACCCTACCCCCAAATTGAAATGTCTTAGGATTTCTAAGGAAGGAAAATGCAAGCACATGGTTATTCTCACCTCCTATTCGTCCTGCTCTATTTCTCTCCCTCGACTTCAATTCAGTTTCTTTGGAAGTTTGAGCAAGTTCAGCCACTTCTGAATTAAAGCACATGAAAAGTGAAATGAAATAGCAATAAAATGAAATGGCAAGTAACAGCACTGTATGTTGCCTTTTCACAGTCTCAAAAGAAATTACAGCATCTCTTAGGTGAGTTAATTTCCACCATATTCCATCTATATATAATTTTCATCACATTATTATGTCACGCTACAGAAGTTTTCTAAAGTGTAGTAGTGTATACAAGTTAACTGGAAGTATTGTCACTTCAACTAAATATATTTTACAGACAGGCAAACTGAAGGGGCTATAACTCATCTGAGATCACACAGCAATTCAGAGAGTGGCAGGGTGAGGAACAGAACTCATCTATACTCCCAGGTCATTCCCAAAACTGTTACACCCATTTCAATATTACTGAAGCAGCAGAAGGTGCACCTTGGGGAGAAATGCCAGAGGAAGAACTCTTAGCAAGGAGTCTTGGGAAGTCAGAGAGAACACTCACATGCCACATGCTTGAGAGATTATATTTCTGTCCCCTCCTTGCAACCAATTTATAAAGTACCTTTCACACTTGAATGTGAATGTGACACCAAGCTGGCAAAGGCTTCAGAAGTTAAGATATGATCTTAAAGGTTAACTACAGTATCTTTTAGTAGTAGAATTTAAAGCTGACAAGTTTATATATTCATTGTAAAAATTTGCAAATACAATGACTGAACAACAAAATAACCACAATCCCAGTGTTAATCTCTTAGGAAGAAATCAAAATTATTTTATTAGAGAACTGTCTATACAGTTTATGATTTCATAACTTTCATTTTAGAGAAGATTTTAATATTTAAATAAGTTTTAAGGTTGTTAGAGAATCTTAGCACCTTCAAGAAGAATTTTGGGACAGGGAATGTAATTTTCTGTGTTCAGACAGACCCAAATGAGACATTTTGAATAACACTCTAATGGTAGCAGAATACACAGTTACATCATCCTGCCAAGGGGGTTTTTTTTTGGTTCATCAGTAAGGACTGGAAAAATAGTGCAAAAAGCCTCTGCACAAGTATCTTAAAAAAATCTTTGTCAAAATACCAAAACAAAAAAACCCAAACAAACAAAAAACATTCTACTACACTTACCTGCTATCAGCAATATCTTAGATTTATGCAGATGATCCTAAATTGTCATACCCTGTCAAGGAGCTGCAACACTAAATCGTGACTTCCCACAGGCTGACAGTTTTTTCTTTCATTTAAGATGTCAGGCAGTTCAACATTGTTTGCTTTATTTCCTCACCTCCCCACCCCCATGTCCTGCCTCAGCAGTATCTTCTTCTGTTCTGCCATCGTGCGTCAGAGGGATGTGTTCCTGCAGCCCCGCGTCCTGCGTGATGTGAGTGTGTGCAATCTGGAAGTCCCACCGTGTGCTTCACGGGCACACAGAGTTGGGCAGATCCTGTCTGTACAGTCAATACAGAAATCAACAGCTCCATGGAGTAAGTACCAGTGGAACTGAACAGATATTTAAAAACAGTGTGTTGATTTCATGGCACATCATGAGATATTGTAGGAAAATAGTACAACGATGGCAAAGGAAGAAGCAAGAGCAATGAGATGATGACGGAATAGGGAAGGGAAAACCTGAAAGGAGTTCAGTTTAGATTACACTAACTAAGGCAGTCATCAAGTCATCACACATGAATGTGATTTATGCCCAGAGACCTCAGACAGAAAACAGAATCTGCAAAACAGAGACCAGAGATGGTCTACCTCAAAGGAAATTAATAAGAAAAACAGCGATGAGTTTGATGGTGTAGAGTAAGTGTAAAAAAAGCTACAACAATAATACCCTGCACATTTGGTTAACATGAATATAGAGAATTTGCACAAAAACATTACAGTTAAAAATCTGTATTAGCCTGGGAATAAAGATATTTACTGAATGAATTTTACCATTCATGTTGCTTTCATTTTCAAGACTCTGCCAACCTAATATTTGCAAGTTCTGCTCTTCCCTTACAATCCCTGGCCATAGAGCTTAGTGAAAGGATTGGCTGCTAGCTGCCAAGTATTCTTGTGCCGTAGCAGGATATATGCTACTTCATTCCAATAATATGATTTTATTTGGCAGTTGGTACAAAACAGGCATTAAGGTTATGATTCACTACTTGGTTGTCTCAACAATCTAACACTGAATGTTCTTTCTCCTCATTCCATGAAAGCCTAATGCCAGAGTTAAGTATCTGATTTCTCCTTCAGCTTATGTTCCCCCAAACAACTGGGTCCACTAACTTAGAAGAGGTCCACATGGAACAAGCCACTGTGGGATAAATAAATGTACACTGGTTAGGCCGGGGACATTCCCAGATTTCCAACAGGGAGAAATCAAGTACTGTCATCCTTACCAGATTCCATTTTGCCTAAACTGCCTCATTCCTGGTTCTACACACTAAGTGTAATTATATACAGTAAAGGGCTGAACGGAACCTGTCCATCTTTTCAAGGACATTGATAATGATCTTAAAAGGACAGCTATGGGGGTTTTGTTTGCCTTTGGTTTTCTTGCTTGCTTTTCTATTTGATATTTTGAAGATTAAAACTTCACAGAAGAGGGAAGGAATCGCCACAAAGGAAGCCTGCTAACCTGACAATGGGCCAGCCTTCAGTTCTATGCTATCTATTCCAGAAACAACAACCAACCAAACAAAAAACCTCACACCATTTTGAAGTTCCATATTTATAACTCCAGGCTTCTGATGTTCATAAAAGCTTTTACAACTCGGAGGTCACTAAACAGTCACCCCAGGTATTGTATAACTAATTAATGTCACTTGAGGGACGTGGGGGGACATTAGCCCAGTCTTATGGGAAAACAGGGAAAGAAGGGGCCATCATGAGCCACCTTCTTTAATCTACTGCCAATAGATTAAACCAATAATTGTCTGCAGCACCACTGGATGTTTGGCATTTGCTACATTTCCTTCCTTTCCAAAATCTTTTAAGAAAAAGTTTTGAAGATGCTGGAATATATGCCTTAGCATGCAGGCATACTTTAACACAGAAGGAAGAGTAAACATTAATAAGAGTTGTTACCAGAGTAAGCTCCCACAACTGCAATCAATTTACCACCATCTTGTCAGTTAAATCTTGTCACTTCAGTCACAGCAACTGACAGTACACTCCCTGCTTGACCTGTGTTACACAGCAAATCAGACAAATCAGTTTTGACAGATGAGCTACTCCAAAGTTAATGGTAATTTAGTTCACATGTAATCATGTGATGTTACCCTAAAATCAGAAGGCCTGAGTATGAAAGGAAGTGTTACAGCCTACCCTGTGAGCTCAGTCACAGAAAAACACTCACTTGCTCTTCAGGTTGCAGATTTTCATGCTACTGTTCATAGAACCTCTGGCATTTCAGGATGCCCATGGCCATCCACAATGAGCAAGATTCAACTGCACACAGATCTAAGTTTGAATGAAGCTCTGTTAAAGAGCTGAAGCACAATATCACTATAGAGACATGTATTTCATCTCCAATTGTTTGATGTAATTAGGAGATGGGGAACAAAAAGGCCTCTGCACCTTTAATATATGCTATTATGTCATCCAGTTGCATGTTTGCTAGAGGCTTACTTCATTTGGCCTGAATATAAACTTGGAAGAACTTCAGGTTCTTTTAATGTTAATGATCTAGTTCCTGCATAGTACAGTCAAGTGAAAAAGCCTGACATGGGAAAATTTAAATAACAACAAGAGTACACAGTTCTCTTCAAGAAGAATTTGAGCTTCACCCTGTATTAAACTCAGAACAGTGTACAAAACTTGTTGACACTGTTTTGCTCTTCCTTCAGACTGTTCTGCTGGTTCTGTAACCCCGTTTCAGCCACTTAGCTGCTGTAGTGCAGGTTACTCACATCTCATTGCACTTAAACTGGAAAAGAAGTTGCAAATCTGCTCGAGACTAATTTTTTCTTTTCCAGGTGCCAAACTGTTCTAAGAAGTTCCATACAAACATCACTGACATTTTAAAGAACTGTTCTTCTTTTCCTTTGATGGCAACTTCTAGATGAGAACATTTTTCTCCAAAACTGAAGATAAATAAAGAGAAAACTTACAAAAAAATACCAAGAGACACACAGTTTTGATTCAGACCTCCACCAAGAGCTTGTAGCACCTTTCAGCTATAAAGGAAGAACGAACCTACAGTGCCCTCAAGTGTGAGGGGACATGAATTGGAAGAAGTCTGGAGATCTACTAGGAAGAGGAAAGCTCTCAAGCCTTCAGAAAGGACCCTCACTGAAGAAAAACATGCTTACCTGTACTGGGGAGGGGAGGATAATTGTCTTTATGCATTAGGATAGACTATGTACTATAAACATGTGCAAGAAACAAATCACAAAACATCTCCACTTTCAACTGCCTTTTTCAAATTCTTGTAAACTGGAAGTTTTGTGTGCATTCTCACCACAGAAACATAGCAAAGGTAGTTTATTTAGTACAGAAGTCTCTAAATAGTATTTAAAGGAAGAAGTATCTTAGTAGAAGGTCAACATTTACACTTTACAGACAAGTCCAATGATGCTTAAGACAACATTTCCTCAATATCTGAATCTCTTAGCAAAGATCACACTTCAGTCTATTACCCAGGAACACAAAAGTTTTATCTATTACAGTTATGCAAAAATAGAGGAGGGTAATGCACCTTAACCAGCACTCAAAAGAACCTGCAAGTCAAGTTGGAACTCAACTAAGTTAGCCAATGGGAAGCACTGAAGACAGGAGTGCATCTTCAGTCCAGTCTCCCACTGTGCTAGAGCTTTCTGCCCACCACCAAAAGCAATGGCATTTATTCAAGACCACAACCTCAAGCCCAGAGACTGGTGCTCTCACCTCAGCAGTTAGATCACTTAAGACAGAGGTCAAGCCCAAGTCATTAATAAACTCAAGGTGATTTCACCTTCTCCTCCCTAAACAAAGTTAAGATATTTAATGATGGCAACACTGTCAGCACTTCCAGTTGTGCTAGTCCTGCTTTACATACAATTCTTAAGGCGTTCACTATCCCAGAAATTAGAGCAAAAGATAGCCCAATTCTTTCCTCTTGGGAGCCTAGGCATGTAAGGGGCACGACTTCAAATCACCTCAGGGAGAAAAGGTGCTGAACCTAGAGCCCTCACTCTTTGGGAATGCTCTAACCACTAAGCTATTACTCAGGAGTGGGAGGGGTAGCTCTGGTTTGTTTTGTGCAAAGCCCATCTGATAGGTCTTCAGTAAACATGCTCCAAGAACACCATGTTCTGCAAGCCCTGAGAGGAGACAGAGGGAAATATTTAATCTCTGGATCCAGAGTGAGCTTACTTGAGCATAGGCGTGGAACCATTGCCCACTGCCAAACTTGAAACACCCTTTTCATGGCTGAGCACCTGATGAGGTTCTGCCTAGATGCTCACTGACTTCAGCTACAGGGTTAGAAGGATCTCGGGTTTTGAAGCTCTAAGCTGGGGCAGAAACACAAGCTTCATGAACTCATTTCCCTTCTTTGGACTGCACAGAGTCTTTGGCTTGCTGAATAATATCAGAACCTTTGTCTTGCTGAATAATACAGGACAGGGAATTCCCATATGGGTGACTATAAGTGCCAGAAATCTGAAGAAATCTTATTCTATGAAAAAAAAAAAAAAACAAAAACAAAAAAACACCACCAAAAAAAACAATCAAACAAAAACCCATCAGCTGTACTATAAAAACTTTAGGTTTGAAAAGCAAAGCATTCTGGTGGCTAGCACCTACCAGAAGTTGAATCTATCTAGATGATTCCAACTTTCAATTTTTAAGTTGACATTCTGCTATAGGGACAACTTTTTCCTGTTAGGGTTACCTTTTCCTACAGTGCCATCTGTTGCAGAACCTCACCTCTTTTATTGTTATTGTGAACGATATATCTCAAACAAAGCAAGGACAAACTGTTCAATGAAAGTACTGCGTAGTAAGCTCTGTCACAAACATGATCTGAATGTATACCAAATGGCAGAATTACCATTCACCTGCAGGAGGCTGTAAGAAACAGTAAGAAATCGTAAGAAACACTAGAGTATTGCATATGAAAACACCTCAAAGATACAAGCTGTGTTAACTCTTTCTGTTGCATACATACAGTAAAGGAATTGAGTATTTTATTTTCATCTAGAAGGCCACAAGGTCTTTCCCCCCCTTCTTCAGTTAGAAATACCACCTACGTTCTGATGCTTTCAAGACTGGTAGTAAAACTCTGGGGACACATACAGCCTGTTGGGTCAGTGCTACAGCCAGGGCTGAACTAAGTAAAGCACCCTTCCTGCTGGATGAAGCCTTGCCACCAAGTCATACAGCAGGATAAAAGCTAAAATGCTGCCAGGACGTTTCACTGTCAGGGTCCCTCTGAGCATGCCTGAGTAACTCCTGTGTAACGCACCACATTCACACAGAAAGTAACACAGTTTCTTCTAGCAAGCACTGCCAGTGGCAAAGAATTATCTTCCTTACTATCTTTCT